CTTCCGGAAGTGGGGGACTCCCCAGGTGGATCTGTTCAGGCCTTTCTGCTCCCGAGGTTGTGGGGGGGTCTGATGTACGCCTTCCCACCGGTGCTGCTAATCTACAAGGTCCTTATGAAGATCAAACAGGACAAGGCGAAGGTGATCCTGATAGCTCCTGCGTTGCCTCAGCAGCACTAGTTGGGCACGCTGACGGACCTTTTGCTAGCCACCCCGCTGCAGCTGCCTCTCTGGCCGCATCTGCTGTCCCAGAACCACGGCCATCTTCTGCAACCGAACCTGATGGTGCTGCACTTGACAGCGTAGCTTCTGCATGGCTAAATGTTGGAAGAACTGGAATACTTGGTCCAGGTCCAACAGGTCCTGTGGGTAGCAGAAAGCCATCCACCAGAGCGACCTACCTGGCCAAGTGGAAGAGGTTCACGGGCTGGACGTTGAACTGGGGTATCCAGGCTGAGCAGGGCTCGCTGCAGGCTATCCTGGATTATCTTCTGCACTTCAAGCTCCAGGGGTTGTTCCTATCATCGATCAAAGTCCATTTGGCCGCTATTTTGGCCTTCCACCCTCCGCTCCAGGGCAGGTCGGTCTTCGCTCATGACATGACAGTCCATTTTTTTGAAAGGTCTGGAGCGTCTCTACCCGCATGTCAGGGATCCCATCCCACCCTGGGACCTGAATCTTGTGCTGTTGCAGCTCATGGGTCCTCCCTTTGAGCCTCTAGCTTCCTGCTCCCTTTTCCTCCTCTTCTGAAAGGTTTCTTTCCTGGTTGCAATAATGTCCGCCCATAGGGTCTCTGAGATCAGGGCGCTTACTTCAGAGCCATCCTATACGGTGTTATAAAAGGACAAAGTCCAGCATTGGCCTCATTCAGCGTTTCTGCCCAAGGTAGTTTCACAGTTTCATACTGGCCAAGACGTATACTTACCTGTCTTCTTTCCAAAGCCTCATGAATCGGAAGAGGAGCGCAAATCGCACGCCCTGGACGTCAGGAGAGCGCTTGCCTTCTACATCGACGGACCAAGACGTTTCGTAAGTCAACGCAGTTGTTCATTGCAGTGGCAGACAGGATGAAAGGTCACCCAGTGTCTGCGCAGAAGTTTTCGTCCTGGATCACAGCCTGCATCTGTTACTGCTATGACCTGGCAAAGGTGCCTCCACCAGCGACTGAGACTGCCAACTTGACTAGAGTGCAGGCTTCGTTGGCAGCCTTCCTGGCCCAGGTGCCAATTCGCCAATTCAGGATATCTGCAGGGCTGCTACCTGGTCGTCTGTCCACATGTTTACGTCTCATTATGCGCTCACTCAGCAAGCCTGAGACAATGCTCACTTTGTGAACTCTGAGCCCGTGACCAGGGATACTGCTTGTGAGTCTCCTAGAATGGAATCGACATGAGCAAGCACTCGAAGAAAAAACGGTTACCTACCTTTCGTAACTGTTGTTCTTTGAGATGTTGCTCCATTACCCGCCCTCCCGCCCCTCTGTTGGCATTGTCGGTAAGAAGGAACTGAGAGGGCATAGGGTCGGCGGCGCTGGATATACCGCAGCATGAGTGCAGCACTCTGACAACGACGCATGTGGGCGCGCGTGCACCTAGAATGGAATGGACATGAGCAACACATCTCGAGGAACAACAGTTACGAAAGTAGGTAACCGGGTTTTCATGTACATTCGATATTTTATTACATTTTAGGTGAGAATAGAAGAAAAATGCAGTAAACAAAGTTGTCATTAATAAATACTACTGCTTTAGAAAACATTAAACTCCGGGGTGGTTCTGTAAAAAAGGCCCATCATCTTTGTGTGATTCCAGCTCTCTTGGGATGCTCGAGGCATTGTAATATACAGGCCTTCTGGATTTTAAAGTTCCTATTACTTTTTTCATCTTTTGGCTTCCAAATTGATACATTCTCCTCTGCAGCATTTCCTCAGCTTCTGTATGGCAGAAACTTGAAGTTTATATCAAATAATGTATTGCTGTCGTGCTGAGTTTTACCTAAGTTACCAAAAAATCTGACCTCTAGAGATCAAATGTATGTGACATAAATTAAAATATTTTTGATTATTTCTAAGGGCTGGTATTTACAGACTTTGCAGTTAGACTTTCAGAGAGTATGTAGAATAGAATTTTTTACATTTAGTAGTGCAAGTTGTCATGTTGTTTGCATTCAGAATTTAATTTCTCCACTTTATCAATCCAATCTGTGCAGACTGTTGTGACTTGAAACAGAAGGTTTTTGAAATGTCTATTTTAGTTGGATCAGGTATGTCAGTCATTGTCAGATCTGTCCGCCTCCAAAGCAGGATAGCAGTACACATGCTGGTTCCCAAGGTGTGGTCACGAGCACCTTCTAGTGTGTGTCAGTCCAGCAGATGAGAGCATTCTTGCTGTGTAATAATGTCTTCAGCCCAGTGGTTTTTATCAACTGCCTGTCTTGTCTCTCCCTTCACTGTTGTGCAGGTTGAATGATCCTAAGATGTCAGAAGCAGAGCGTCAGTCAATGGAAAGCGAACGGGCAGACCGTAGCCTATTTGTTCAAGAGCTTCTACTGTCCACTTTGATGCGGGAAGAAAGTTCCTCCTCAGATGAGGATGAGAGGGGGGAAATTGCCGATTTTGGTGCTATGGGCTGTGTAGATATTATGCCTTTAGATGTTGCTTTAGAAAACCTAAATTTAAAAGAGAGTAATAAAGGAAACGAGCCTCCTCCACCTCCTCTTTGATGACATCCCACTTCGCAGACAATGTCCTCTGTGCTGTATTTGCCAATGAAAGTGGACAACTACTATCTTGGGTTTGTTTTGGTGATTGTAATTTCAGGTCTGTCACTCTTGTTACATTGTGTACATTCAAAAGGAAGAGAGAAAAGATATATATGATAATCATTTCCACTTAACTAATTTTTACTTCTAGCAGGTAAATGTAGGTTGCAGTGCAGAGGAGAAACCTCTGTGTTCTGTACCTTGACATGCAAAAGGCTCTCCTAATACTCCACGTTCAAACTGAAGAGGAAAAAATGAAAAATCTCTAATGAAGCTGCTGTGTGTATTTATGAATATTAATGAATAAAAACTGCTTGGATGGTTTACCTTAACTACTGCATGAGGTTTTTTGCAGCGTGCATGAGTTTTAGTGACCTTGTCATTTAAAAAATTAAATACAAGGAGTGAAACTATAAAAACCCAAAGCTTTTCCCATTATTCAAAGGTTACATGACAAAAAGGTTGTGTTCACTAGCAGTTTGTAGCCATGAAGTAGCTTTTGAATAATATGTGACTGAATCACCTATTTCTATGTGCTTCAGCACATAAAGCAAGCTCTGCAGTGGGACAGATTGTTGTTTCCAGGGTTTGGCATTTTGCTATATGTGACTATTATGTTGTCATATTAGTCATCACGTCCATGTGGAGTTCAGCTTCTCTTTTATGCATCTGTAGGAGACACAACAGTAATGCCACTGCTGGAATCTACTGCAAAGGGCTTTTGTGTGCCCTCAAATCAAATCTTGTTCATCTTTGTTTAAAGTTTTTCTTTTTTGTGGTTGTTAAAATTTTTCAACTGTTAAACATGTTTTATTCAGGTGTAGATGATTCATTTATTCACTGTCTTT